GAATTTAGTGTAAATATATCAATTTTATAAAATAATACATAATAAAAATTATATTAAAAATATAATTCCATCAGAAAACATTATAAAGTTAGCATCCATCATCTTATAAATAGCTGCATAAGCTTCATTTTCAGTAAATGTATTTGTAGCATGTTCTTCATTAATTATAGTAAGCATTCGAATAAAATGTATAGACTGTATCCTCTGCTTCTGAAATATATTACTCAAAGTTAATTTAAATATTTTGTATCTATCTGGAGAAATTGATGTATTTTCAGGTGGAGGTATAACTGATGAAACATTAACTGTTTCTGAATTATCTTCAACTACTTCCATAACATTTTGAGGAGTATCAGCATCTTCACCATCTTGAAATGAATATGGATCATCAGTATTAGTTCTTGGTTTACTTTTAGGTGGTTTTCCTGGTGAAACATCTTTTTCTTCATCAGATTCTTCATCACTATGATGTCGTTTCCTCTTGGGTTTCTCTAACACTTTTTTAAAGTAAGCGAATTGAACAAGTTCAATTGCTGCATTAGCGTCCTGTTGTTCAACATTTTTAGACAAACGAGCTTTAGCATGAGCAGTAGAAAGACGAATCAATGTTTCTAATGTTCTGACTGTAACAGGCTGAGTTCTAGCAGCATCAGATTCAACAGCTTCTTGAGAACGAAGTCTAGAGTATTCTTCAGCTATAACTTCAGATGCTTGTTCAGTCAATACAGGTTTAACACACTTGGCAATATGTATGTATTTTCTCATAAATTGACTGCTCAAAGTCTGTTCAGATTTGTTTCGAGCTCCATGAAGTAATGGCTCATATTTTTCAAACATACGAGTTTTAGATGGGTCATTTTCATCGATTTCTAGATTTCTAGTACTTAAAATATCCACACCTGAACCCATTGGTAATGCTTCACCATCTTGTTCTTTTGGATCTCTATACCTATGTATACGAACAACATGCTCAGATATCATTCGATCATTTTCACTATCAGGGGTATCTAAAATAACAAACAACAAATCAAATCGAGACAATAATGAATCTTGCAAACCTATATTTTCCATTGGAGTTTTAAATTGATCATATCTGCCATAAACAGGATTAGCAGCTGCTAGAACGGAACACCTAGCATTAAGCCTTGCATGTATACCAGCTTTAGATATTGACACTCTGCCTTGTTCCATAACTTCATGAATAGCTGTTCGATCCATATCTGACATTTTATCAAATTCATCAATGCATACAACACCTCTATCAGCAAGCACCATAGCTCCTGCTTCTAATCGTCTATCACCAGTTTCTTGATCTGTAGTAACTGCAGCAGTTAAACCTACTCCTGAACTTCCTCTACCTGTAGTAGCTACAGCTCTTGGAGCAGCACATAAAACATATCTCAGTAATTGTGATTTTGCAACACTTGGATCACCGATTAATAACATATTTATATCTCCACGAAGACGTGTTCCATTAGGTAAAATTTTTTCAATTCCACCCAATAAAAGACAAAGAATAGCTTTTTTAATAAAAATATGACCATAAATAGAAGGAGCTATTGAATGAGCCAGTAAATTAAATATATTACCCTTCTTTCTCGATAACTTTCTACAGTTAAAAACATCTTCTCTACTAACTGAATATGTTGAATCTTTACTCAATTGCGAGACATTATTAGCAATAAGAATAGTTCTGAAATTTCCAGTTGTATAACCTCCTTGTTTAGCAGGAAGACAACGGTAACTTCCAACCACTTGCACACGATCTCCTGGTTTACAACAATCAACTAAATCATTATCACAAATAATATCAACATAACGAGGCAGTTGCCCAGCAGGTGCTTTTTCTGGCATTTCTTGTATTGTTATGGTCTGATGATCTTTATATACAGAAAGCCCATATTCAGTTTCCAACGGATTTCCATCATCATCTTTTGTTGGATAGACAGTACTACTCGGAAATGCAGATGTCGATGTCATATCTGTATAACGACGTTCTATGGTTTTTTTAGTTACTGGACAAAAATGTACACTTTTCACAATTTTTGGACGAATCAAGGAACACTTAGTAACAATACCTTCCAAACAAACCAAGTTACCCAAAAATTTACTATTCAGAGTTCTAGGAGTTACATGGCGACTTCCAAAACTTCCTTCAAAAGCAACAAAAAATTCATCGTATTTATTAGCAAAAGTAGAATCAATATTTGCAACATATTCTTTGAGTGCACGTTCGAAAGCAAATTGTTCTTCAAAAGTATTTGTTAGTAACGCTTGGGTTCTATTAGGATTTTTTTTGCGCAAATCATTGATGTCAATTAATAATCTTTGGCTATTCTCATCAATCATAAGTTTTACCTTCTTGTGATACACATTTTGATTTTCTTCATCGTCCAAAAAACTATAATACTCCTTTTGGGTGTCTCGCAATCTCTGTTCAATTTCTTCCTCCATTATTTAAAGCACTATAAAAATAAATTAAACAGGAAAAAATAAGTTTAATTAGTAAATAAAATAAATTCAAGGAGCCTTACAGTTTTTTATTTGAGATATCGTAATGAATCCGGTAGAAGAAAAGGTGAAAATTGTTTTCAGCACTACAAAGTGAAAATCTACAGAAATTATAATTTATCTGCACTAATAAATTTATTTTAGGAGAGTATTAATACTTTAAAAACTATATAATTATAATATAAAGACAAAAGAAAACATACAACAGTTCTAAAGTATTAAAGAAATCTTATAACAAGAGCGGATTTCAATGCAAAGTGCATATTTTTTTGGTTGATCATACACAATGCTTTCTAAGAACATAATTTTATGTAACAAGGGTTTCAAAACTACAAATTTTATCTTGCATTTTTTTATCATTAGAGCATTTTTAGTATTATTGAATCATTTTGTTGGTTTTTAATGCATATTTGTTTGACATACATAACAAATTTAGCCTATTCAAAATAAAATCAAAAGACAAATTATTTTCTTGATAAGTAGGTTTATCAGGTTTTCCCATACACACTGTCAATTTTTATTTTTCGATTCAGTTATTATCTTATTTTAATTTATTATAGAATATGGAACGTCACCAGTATTCGGTCAAATAACAAATAATCAGACAGTTACATCACAGACGTTGCTCAAATTACATGTGAATGTGATTTTAATGTATTAAATAATGCCCAAAATAAAAAAAGTTATGTCATTTTTGTGATAAAATGCATTTTTAAAGGAAATTTTTTAGAGCATATTTGTATGATTTTAAATGCATTTAAATCCGGGCCCAACTTATAACAATATAACTCAAATGCAGTGCCGCAAAAAATGGGTGTGCAAAGTGTGTCGCACACACGGGCCCCAAGGCTTACATACATTTGGGGGGCCCCTAGTTCCAGCCTAAAATAAACTACACTTAACAAACACACGATTATTTAATAATATTATATTATTAATTTATAATAAAAAGAAACTTTTTTTAAAATTTAGGTAAAGATGTTATAATATTTTAGAGTAATTTAATATTTATTTAAAAATGAGTACATTGAGTATTTGAATAAGCATACATCATATCTACCTAAACTACTTAAATAAATTTACTACATAAATATGTAGTGAACTATAATATACAACAGTTGAAGGTATTTAATTTGATATATATACATATATCATACACTAACTGATGTAAAATGTGTTTTAAAACCTAAAAGAATTGATACTTATAAATAAGAAGTACAACAAAAATAAATCTTAGAAAGGGACCCAATATAATTACTGCATTTGGGCCTCCCATTTTGTAGTTGGCGCACTGCCCAAATGCCTAATTAATTGTACCTACTCATAAAATGTAGTATTACAAATAACACATAACAATAAACATTGATGAAATAATAATTAAGTTACAAAAACTAGAAGTATCAATACACCTTTTAAGTAAAACCATACTATAATTTGAACAACAAACTAAATAATTATTTCATTCACTCCATAAATCCAAATATCAATTATTAAGAATAGTATATTTAATTCCCATCATAATGTACATCTTCTCTTGTAAAATCAACACATATTATAAAAAAAAACAATATTTTTTCCAATGATAATTTTTAAAATAATGTATTTCAGTAATATATTTAGTTAGGTATATACTAGTAATGATAGTAGTACTACTCATACACTTTTGCATTTTTCTTTACAAAAATGTGAATTAAGTTAAGTAGTTATATGTTTTAGTAATTATCCAATAGTATACTACACATATCATAATAAATAATATTAAACAATAAACTAATACACTATTTGATATTAATTAAACTTTTTTATACTGCTAAAATGTACTCATTGTTAGTTAAATTTAGATAACTCGAAGATTAGATCAATTTTTATTCACAAATAAAATTGAATTATAACTCAAACGGGTTGGTTGATATTCAAACGCTAATATTTGAGTGACACATCGACAGAAAATTATTTATTTATTTTATAATTCTAGTGCCAAATTATACGATAGTAATAAATATATTTCCAAACATAAATAAAACGGTTAAGAATACTTACGTTTTTGAAAACGAATTTTTGGCGACGAAAGCACTTACGTATAAACAATATTATAATAGTAAATGTTTTAGGCTTGCCACTCTCGTTACATAGATGTCTGCTGGCCATTGGATGCCCATACACAATGATTATTTTACCGCCAAATACGTACGTGAATAAACTAAACAATAATTTGAAGGTTACACTGAACACTGGTATCTTCGAATACTATAATAGTATATAATACTACTATAATATTACGATTGTAAGCAAGGCATCCAGCTATACTCTTATTCCATGGAAATCATTCATCTGCTTATCATTATGGTTGCTTTGAAAAAATTGCATGGAACATAAAATATAACGAATCTCTTATCGGTGATATGGGCAAAACGCGCCTTATTGTTGTCCGAACATACCAATGATCAAAACTACAAAAAAAAAAAAAAAAATATATAAAATATAAATAATACAGATTATATTATTTTATGCGTCCCCTTAAAATTGAGATTTCAAATGAATAGTTAATATTTAATTGAACATTTTTTTTTTTTTTATATTACTGTTACTCAATTAATATGTAACAAACATAGATTTAGTTAAATTTACACATAAATAGTTAATTTACATAAATATTAACATGAAAATGTTTTATTTTATCACAATATTGGGAATTACCTCTTCTTCTAATGCAGACTGTGGATGCAATATAAATCGCATTAAGACAGACATGAAGAAAGAGGAAGCTTGTACAACAATCTCAAGAATAAGTCATTTGGAAACAATCGAATCCATGGTTTTCATCAAAGGAGGAAATTTTACAATTGGAACTGACAAACCAGAAATTGTAGCAGATGGTGAATCACCTTCCCGCCAAGTTTACTTGAATGATTATTTTATTGATAAGCATGAAGTGAGCAATACAGAATTTAAAAAATTTGTTGACATAACTGGATACCAAACTGAAGCAGAAACATTTGGTGATTCGTTTGTATTTCAATTATTTCTCAGTGAAACAACATTGAAATCAATAACAAAAGCCGTCAAAGATGCTCCATGGTGGGTTCCTGTTAAAGGTGCTAACTGGAAGCATCCAGAAGGAGAAGATTCCAATATTAATGGTAACATGAGAATTTATATACATATAATGATGATAATAATTGAGGCAATAAATGTTGTATTGTTAAAAAATATAATTAAGTGTATACAATTTTTTTAGTTTTGTTTAACTATCTGAAAATAATCAATGAAAATGTATAACTTATAAGTCAGCTGATATTTAAGTGTTTAAAGTAAATAATTGTCTAAATTTATTTTATATCTAGTTTCAACTTTTTTAAATGAATATTATACCATAGATAATGCAGTTTGAATAAAATGTGTTCATCTAAATATGCGAAGAAAAATTGTTACAAAATTATATTAATAATTCTTATTTTTTTATTTCAGATAGAAAAAAACATCCTGTTATACATGTTAGTTGGAATGATGCTATAGCATATTGTACATGGGCAGGAAAACGACTTCCGTCTGAAGCTGAATGGGAAGTAGCTTGTAGAGGTAATCTCAAAGACCGACTCTATCCTTGGGGAAATAAACTACTTCCAAATAATAAACATAGGTACTTTAAGTTGATATTTTTTAATAATATATGTTTAGAACATCTTAAGCTCATATTGGAAATGTAATTTTTAAAATATTTTTGATTCCAGGAAACTTAGAATTTTCTGTTGTAACAAAAGTAGAGATAACTCAAAATTAATCATTATAATACTTTATTTTATTTTTTCAAATAGATTTATAACATCCTACATCTTAAATAACCATGATTCATCAACACTTATTTTATTTGGTTTCCATCTATTATTAACACATACTAATTTATTGTTCATTATTATTTGATCACTCAATATTTTTTACTAGATTATTCAAACTGATGAATTACATAAAATAAATAAATTAAGTATTAATACAATAATTTTTACTAAAAAAAATATAAATTTGATAGAAAACAATTTGTAACATTTTAGTGATTCGATCAAGTTATGTTTTATATGGTAAATTAACTGTAATATTACTAAATACTAACACCAAGTATTGTCTTTGTAAACTTCTTATATACTCATTATTATTTGTTATAGAACAAATATCTGGCAAGGTGAATTTCCTTTTAAAAACACTGCAGAAGATGGTTGGGCAACTACTGCTCCTGTAGATTCATTTCCAGAAAATGGTTATGGTCTTAATAATATGGTAGGAAATGTTTGGGAATGGACAAATGATTTTTGGAGTGTATATCATGATCAAAATTCAAAAAATTCAGTAAGATATTTTGTAACACTTATTAAAAAATGATCAAAATATCTATTAACCTTTTATATTTAGAGTGGTCCTTCAAATGGAAAAGAAAAAGTAAAAAAAGGTGGTTCATACTTGTGTCATAAAAACTATTGTTACCGATATCGATGTGCTGCACGAAGTCAAAATACACCAGATAGTTCTGCATCAAATCTTGGCTTTAGATGTGCAAAAGATGGATAGTTTGGAAAACTAATAACTACTGTGATTTTTTTGAACGAAAGAAAACTTTTTTTAACTACTTTTTATACATAAATATATTTCAAAACCATTAAATAATTAAATTAATTTATGGTGGTTGTTACTTTTAGTATTATTTTTATAAAGTTTAAATAAAATATATCAATACATATTATTTAATTTGATTTATATTCAACTTCACTATTTCTATTAATATAACTTTTTAATGCTTCTTTTAAACGTTCTTTTTCAGTACATTCTACATCAATAAAATTCTGGAACAAAGATTAATATACATTTAACAGATTAAATTAATTTAGCTATAGTAAAAAATTACCTCAATTATTTTAAACTGATCATTTTCTAATTCAGTTCCCATTCCTTGATTTAACTTTGAATATAATTGAATGAATAATATTACATCATCAAATCTAAAATTTTATCTTGTTTTAGAACTATAGTTGGATTCAAAATATATGTATATATATATTGATACAAAATATACCTTTCAGTTTGTAGACAATACATTAAAAAGTTATCTGGCCTTTTATTAAAAACTAAGTAGAACAATAATGGTCCTAAATGCCTCGTTGACTCTAAAATCTGATATTTTTGAGTTTGATCTACATGTTGATAAGTACTGAATACAACACGGTGATAATTTTGGTCATCTGGTTCAAATTGACAACATGCACGATCCAATATAAACTCATAATCACCATTTTCAAGTAAGGGCTATGTTAAAAAGGACTATTAATGTTAAGAAAATATAAATAAATTAAAATATTACCACCTTTAAGTTTTTATCTTCAAACATAGCTGGATGCTTTAACTCTCTTCCTGATTGAGGAAAATATAATTGATTTACCGTATGGCGTTCATTAGCATTACCTTTTCGTAATGTCCCATCGGGTTCCCGCACTACAACTATTCGACTCTAAATAAATGTATAGTGAAAATTTAAAAATATTATTTAAATATTAAAAATAAAAATAATAACAAAATACATTCTATTAATTAATAAATATATTACCTTATCAGATATACCAAAAGTAATATCAGTAAATACAAATTTAGCACTATCAAAACCAATTATATCCCTGTCAACTTCTAAGACTTCTCCTAAATCGGTACGGAGTGGTACAATTGGTGGCATTTGAATTTTTTCCTTAGCTTTTTCTTTCACTTCAACTTGTAACTATATTAAGAGTATAAAATCTATTTAAATAATTTGTAAATATAGTAGAAATTTGTTAAAAAAAAGTTCAAGGACTAAAATATATTTTTTTTATTGTAACCAGTTAGAACAAATATAACTTGACAAACAGAAGACAGGATATACAAAACAATAGATAGTTATACTTTGATTATATTTAAAATTGTTTGTACATACACTCCATAATAAACAATCAATATTGAATTTAAATAAAGTAAAACAATTAGAAACATATAAATTTAAAAAAAAAAATTCTTAATCAATTTCGCTTTTGTGTCAACCGTAATGAGTATGTTGAACAGATGTCCATCATTTTCAGCGCAATTCATTTTACAAATTCAAGATTTTCTCAAAACATTTTGAAATCATCCATGCTTATTACTTTCTTAGAATACTAGCAGCGATCTATTTCCTATTAAACACTGAGGACTTTAACCATCCAATAACTAGTTTTCTATTAAAATTCTAGCCATATTAATTGTCATAAGAATTGTTTTACTTTATCTCATTCATTAAATAATTTACTACCCAAACATTTTTTCCCTTGAAGCAAAATTGTTGTCAGAATTAAAAAATGCCTCATCATTATAAATTACATCACAGAAACTTACTCATAGTTTATAAGAATAGTTTGTAATATTTTGCTTGTTCTAACCATAATAGTTAATGTATATTATAATGTATAATAATATGGACTTATACCCAGATCTAGAGTTCAACCAATTCTAACTGATGTTTTTAGTGATTTCTACTGTATGTACTGTATATAATTATTAAAAAACAAAAACAACTTACTTTTTCAACTTCAGCAGTAGTCATAAATTTATAAATTGGAGTATCAGGATCTTGTCCAATAAAACGTTTTCTAAATGCTTTTTGTATATTTACATGAGTAAGCTTTACTAATATATCTTGTACAGGCTTAGCAAAAAACTTATTACTTAATTCTTTAGTTATTTCTCCTAAAATAATAATTACCATGAATTATTACAATCAAGTATACGTCAGAGTATTTATAGTAGTAATATCTTAGCTATCAATACTTCAGTCTTTGATAACCATATTATAATGCATAGAATATATTGATTAAAAGGAACAAAATAATTAATTAATACTAATTTTATTTTTTATATAAACAATTTAAACATTATTTGAGTTCAGGAAATAACAAGAAAATGTTATTAAATTTAACAGAATATTTTACAAGACAAAATTCAATTTATTAATTAAAACATTACAAGTATAAGTTTGTGTTTAATAAAACTGAAAAATATAAGAAGAACCTTTGTTATAACTTTACTTACGGTCATGTGACTTGCTGGAAAAATTAGATAAAATGATACTATTTAAAAGTTTATTACTATATTTGTAACCATTTTTAAACCGGTAAAATGAGCTAAACAACTGTTTTGAAGTCATTTTGTGTTGGTAAAACAACCTTAATCAATAATAAATGGGTATTTTCAACAATAAAACTTAGAACATAATTATAAAAGGGATAATTTTCAATAATACCATAGATTCCTTATGTTTTCAACTTCTTACACAGAATAAATTGTTTGCGTCTAATCTCAATTACAATTGTGATAATAATGGTTCCTTATCAGAAATAACTGACCACATACACGTTATTCTATTCTGTAATACAACCATGGTTAGAATTTAAAACTCAAAGTGACGCTAGAAACTGGATCTTAAATGATAAAAATCACGTTATTAAATAACAGTAGGTAATTGTTTATGAAATAAGTAAACATTGTGAATAGTGATTGTAAACATAATATTTAAATTTGCATGCATTAACCGCCACAATACTAAATTAAGTTTCTAAAGGGAATATGTTTCGCACGTAAGTAAATTCATAAGTATCAATAATAAAACAAAAATTATGGAAGACTTTATTAGACAAACTTTAAGAATATCTGTTGCTCAAATATGCGATAATATTGGTTGGCACTCAATAACTGACTCTTCAATGCAAATTATGACTGACATCCTGCACCGCTATATAAGTGATTTGGCCATTTCATCCAAAAAATATGCAGAACACGCATATAGCAATGTGCCTGACATAGAAGATGTTGAAAAAGCTCTTCGTCAGAAATCTGTTTCATTGGCTGAATTACGTAATTATGTAAAAAGTACAGGACCTGTAAAATTTCCCCATAATTTACCCAAATTAAATATACCTGGGAAAAATGTGTTGAACCCATTAAAACCCGGAAGTCGAGAAGTTGTTACCAGACCTATTCATATTCATGAACATCTCCCGACTTTGTATGCAGAACCAGTAGAAGAAGAAGAAAACACCACTGATTCAGAAGAAATTCAAAACAGCACAATGAATGATAAGCAAGAACCAGAAGATGTTATTCTGCATAAGCGACTTAGAGAAATATCGAGTGTAGTTATGACGTCTGGTGGATTTTTATCTCCATCTAGAGAAGGCCGATTGGCTGAGTCTAAACTATTACCATTTCCAGAAATTAAAAATGACAAACCTCTTGAAACCTCTAAATTAACTGGTAATTTACCTAATATTAAAAATGAACCATCTAGTAAGGTTTCATTAAAAAAAAATAAAATTAAATCAAAAAAAATAAAATCGGGAACAAAGAAAAAACAAAAAGTTTCTAAAGATGAAAATTTACTTTTACTCTCAAAAGAAATCAAAACAGAAGTATTATCAAAAGAAAAAAACTCTAAGGAAGAAGAAATGTTAATACCAATAGAACCAATTATTGAACCCAAGATTGAGCCTATTATGAATGAACTTGATGTTGTAGATGTCATTGAAGAGATTCCAAAAAAAGGTATTTCTGCTCATCTCACAAACAAAGCAAAAATGGAAGAAGTTTTACCTAAATTTTCATTTTTTGGTTCTTTACCTCAAGGTCCTGGATTAATACCATCGACATTTTCTCAAATAGTTAATACACCTGATATTGATAAAACACCAAAACCAACCAGTCCAGTATTAAAAGGAGACAATGATGTAAGTCGTAAGGAACAAAAGAAAAAGAAAAAGGACAAAAAGAAAGGGAAAAAAGAGAAGAAAAAACAGAAAGAAAAGGAAAAAGAAACAACAAAAGAAAAGAAAAAACAGAAATCCAAGTGTACTAATAAAGTGCCAAAAATTAAACTTAAACTTGGAACTCGAATGGAAACAATTACAAATTTATTGCCTGATAAGCCTTCAGAAGAAATTATAACAATAGTTTCAAAACCTGAACCAATGGAAATTGAGGTAGACATTGAATCAAAATCAGATATTTCCCTAGATGTGTTATGTGATGACATTAAATCACCTCCTAAAGTTCCTATTTCAAAAAGTAAAACTAAACTTAATACAAAAACAATACAGCCAGTTGTAACTCCTGTTGTTGAAACTCCTCCTCCTCCACCATTCTACTTTGATGAAGCTGGTAATCAAGTATGGATTTGTCCAATGTGCACTAAACCAGATGATGGAAGCCCAATGATTGGTTGTGATGGATGTGATGTATGGTATCATTGGGTATGTGTGGGTATCCAGTGTCCTCCAGATTGTGCTGTTTGGTATTGTCCAAAATGTTTGGAAAAACGTGCACAACAACCCAAAGGCAAAAGAGGTAGACCTCGAAAAAATAAATTCTAGTATTTAACTTTTAATTTTATGATTATTATTGTTTAAATAAAATTACTGATACCATTATGGTTTGTCTGATGATTATATATACCTAATAATTGACATTTAATCATGAAATTGTTTGTGTTCTCATATGTTACAATATTATTAATTTACATTAAATATTAAGTATAATTTAACACATTAGATGTAAATTGATCTCAAGAATATAAAAAAGAAAGAACAAATTAAATATTTAATAATTGAAGTATTGTATTATTTAAAAAAATATATCAAATAAATACTTAAGTTTAATAAAAAGTGTATTTTTCTTTCTATGTTGCCAAAAAATATTATATGGTCTAAAATTATTTTTGAAATCCAAATTATCTGATCTTGCTTAATGTTGTGACGAGAAAGAATGCTATCAGTCAAACAATTTAGGAAGCATTGCATTTGGTAGTTGTTGCAACATTTATAAAAAAAATATGTTCTTCATTGATGGTGTTCAAATTGAGGGATATGATTTATACTGTCAAGTTAAAGGCATATACAATCTGAAGGGCATTAATGGATGATACTTTGAAAAGTTAAGATTTGATGAATATTTAAATTTTTTTGTATTTCCACAAAATTGAGAGCATTAAGTCCATTTCACTAAAACTACTCAATTATAATGAGTAAACTGTAAGATAAAATTAATATAAATTAAATTGAAAAAAAATATACACAACATTTTTGATTTAAAATTTGGTTATGCTTTCTAAATATTTGGACATTTTAAGATTATATTGATGAACTAAAAGAAGATTTTAAGAAAATAGTGATGATGAAATATAACTGGAAAAATATAAAAATTTAATAGGAAACATTTTGTTAAGATAGTTCTGGTGAAGGAATTTACGGAGATGAAATATTAGCTCTCTAATAAGTGTAATCCGTCAAAAATTATACACTAAGTATTAATGTGTTCTGGTATTTAGATATACGAGTATGTAGTATTTATTTTTATTATGGTATTCTATATGTAATTATTTTGGTTAAAATATTGTAAAACCAATTTTATAGTTTTTTTCGTTAATACAACTGATAATGGAAGGCTAGATGTTTATAAAAAATATAATAGAACCAGAGCCGTCCAAAGAGTTTTTAGGGTCTGGGAGAAATTAATTCAAGGGCCTCTTAATCATCACAATAATAAACGAGTATGATAAAATATACCCTCCAATTTTGCAAAATGTTGGTAAATGTAGTTATTCAAATTTCAACCAAACAAAGTAATTTTAATTTTAATTAAAATAATATATATAATATATTTATAACGCAGCACACCGGTTAAGAACCACTGTTTTACAATGTTCTTTTATGTATTTTCGATGTGTGATATAAATAATAAATAGATAACTAACAAAAATCTAAAGAAGAAATAGGTTATGAAGGGAAGACACTGCCCCATTCCCCCCTTGAAAACACCCCTGATCTGATTTTTATTTTTAGGTAATATAGCAATGAAAATATCCATTGTCTATTAAGTACCTATAGTTTTTATGTAATCGTGTAGGTAATCAATTAAACATACAGAATTTACTATTAATGCAGAAAACTTCATTAGGTATCTCAAAACAAAAAGTCAGACATATTTTTGATGAACCATTATTTAAATACTATCGTGAATAATTTGATTGGATATTATTAAATTGATTGTGTATTTTTCCCAGAGAAAAATTAAAATAATGCAAGTAATTATGAGAAAAAACAAGTCATTTGACTAAGAAATCATTTGTTACGTTATTTTTCTCGATTTCATTGTATTGGTATAATTGACGGCTTTAGTTTAAACAAAAATGAACTGTAATTTGTACTAATTAATTTTGACTAGTATTCTAAAAAAATTTAAATTCATTAACAGTATTAATATTATATTATAGTATTGTATTAAGTATCCTAAAAAATAGTAAGTTATTATTAATGTCCGGCATTACTATTTCCCGAATGGGTGATTCACCCATTATTTAACGACGAAGCTCTTACATACACTTAACACTACGTGATCTGCACTTTCGACCAGTCGAACATAAACTTAAAGTTTTCCTATTATATCCATCAGAGCTATTAAGAATTTTTAAAAAAATTAATAATTATAAAAAATTGTAGTTTTATATTGCAATGAACAACTTTCCTACCTATATTACCACTCAGTATTAATAAAAATAATATTTAAGGTAGTACCGAATATTCTCATTTCATATTGCTGCCAGTGGCATATTTTTGGGGAGGTGGATTATCGGGTCTCGTTCCGAAGAAGAAAAAAATTACGGTTTAGCAATATTATTAATAAATAAAAATTACAACAAACTACAAATACTACAAATAACAACTGAAAAAATTATTGATGAACTGGCCAATAAATAGATGTTTACCTTTTTTATTACCATTTATTACTACCATTTGTATATATAATCAATGGCGTATATAGGGGGTTGGGGGGGGGGGGGGGGGGGTTATGAAAAAATATGTACTAAATGAAGGTTATAAATTAACTTATTTTTAATAACCATGAAAATTAGAATACATAAATTTAATTACAGGACAAAGTCTAATTTTCGAGGTAGATTTGCAAAATTATTTATCACTTCTTCAGTGTTTATTGAAATACTTCGATGAATTGACATGAGATAATCCTGTTAGTCGATTTTCGCTTGTACTATTTCTCAAGCACGACTTCAATCTTTTCAATATCGAAAACGATCTTTCTGATGACGCTTTTGAGACTGGTAAAGTTACTAATATTGACATTAAGCATCATATATTTGGAAAAAAATCAACGGATAGTTAATTCAAAGTATCAATAGCAGATTTGGATTTCTGACAAACCACGGAACATTTGCAATTATTCTGAGGACTTTGTTTTGGACAATTTGCATTTTTTTGATGTGCGAGGATGCACAATTACCCCATACCGGGCAAGCGTAGGTAAGAATTGGACGTATAATTTGCTTAAAAATTAGGAGAGAGCATTTTTTTCCCATACTAGACAGTTTGGTTTTAATTAATACATAGATTAAAGAAATGCACACGTGGGTCGTACTAACCATAAATTTCGGGGGGGGGGGG